CCGGTAATTGATTGTCTGGTAACTTACTATTACCTGGTAGTAATCAATTTATGGGAATAAAAAATCAAGGGTTTTATGAGCCATTACCATAGTTTGATGTTTTCAGAATAAAATTTGTTATTTATCAAGTCTTTTTTAATTAATAGGTAAAACAGTGAATTCAGTTGCAGTATAAATAATTGACTTACTGAGCCTCGATAAACAATTGCATTATTCCCCACATCTGTTATCTTGTTCATATAAATAGATGGTTTTAAGAAAGTTGTTGTTGACAAATTTATCATATTAATAATAAACGATGTTTGTTAAGAATAAGTGATGGCTTATCAATAAACCCTTCAGTCGTATATCTGACGAGTATAGTAACAAAACAGACTTAATGACATTCTGAAAATCATCTTGTAATATGTAAAATATAACATGATCTAATTGTTTATCGTTGAAGTAATCTCAACAAATTAATAGATAAACAAAAAAATCCCTTCTGAAATATTCAAAATGGACGAACTGAGAAAATATCTGTTTCTTGTTAACTAGTTTTCTACAATGAGTGTTCACTAATACATACAAGTTAACCAATAATAATAACAACAGATAGAGAGCGGAAGTCGAATAATTAATAATATGTATTTAAGAATGAGGGAATATTATAGTTGCATGATGTTATTATCTAACATTAAACCAGTTGATTAGCATTCATTTTAATAATGTTACAAATCCTGTGTGCAAGTGGGAATTCATGATGAAAAATTGATTGGAAACAAGACAATTCTTTGATCTCTATTTCTCTCTCAGTTAATCGTTTTTCAAAATTGAACATCTCCAAGAGACGAAAAAAGAATGTTGTTTCTTTTGAAATAGATTCGAAAATTGTAAAGTTTCTATAAGTATATTGTCAAGGCATATTATATTTATTTATTTATTTGAACACGTAAATATCAGTAGAAAGTGGCACGGGATGCATATGCATCACACAAGTCACTTGGTTTGTGAGTGGGCTATGATATTGCCCGGGTGCCCAGACCGAAGCAGGTAATAATTAAATTCTTCTAATCAATTTCATGTAAGTCAGTTAATGATAATACAAAGTACAAAATCATTGCATGACGTTATATTAGCTAACCATAATTGATTTTTTTGTAAATGACCCATATTTTTTTACCTTAAAAGATGTTAGCAACCAAGTATGTAATTACTTAGTTTTCGTGTCCGGTGTATGTTGTATAGTGAATAATTCAATAAAAGTGAAATTAAAAAAAAATAGTATACATAGTGATGGTCAGCAGGTCAAATTTATATATACATATAAATATTTTTTCAGGATTCCATAATTTTGGTTAAAGCTTGAAAGTATAAAAGTCAAACAGTTGTTATCGTCTTGACGATATACTTCCAAGTTTTATCCTTGTATTCTTTTGTGAATGTCCTTTTGTCAAGAATAATGACTCATCGAAAATTCGAACCTGAAAGACGTATGAAAAATATGGTGTTCTAAAGGTTTTTTAATATAGATTATAAAATCTGTTAAAAGACGTTCAGGTGACTAGTTTACAATACATAACGTTAAAACAAATAGTGATATCATAATGACTTAATAAATTTTGATGAAAACTACCTCCTTGCAATATTCCCATAAATTCTATTAGTGTCGAAATTCGAGAAGCATTTCCAGAAGCCTCAGCTAAAAGTAATTCCAAAGAAAACAATCTTGCTAAAAAAACGCTAACCAGAATCAATAATTTAAAGCAATTTAACTATGTCTCGAGAGTTGAACGATGTTCGTTGAGAAAAATTATGATGCCTCATGGTGAAAGCCAAAATTCTAGAGAAGTAACGAGGCAGATGCCCCTTCTAACAACCAGATTAACAATTAATATAAGTACTGATGAAAGCGTGAGATACTGAATGATTAATTTATATGATAATTCATTAATACTACCTGATGGTGGTCAGGCTATATTTGGAATTTACTGAAGTACAATAATATGAACCATCACAAGATGAATAAGAATGTACTTGCCTCCTTAATTTAAATCTTCTTATACTTTTTTGACAACTGAAAACCTAGTGTATGTGAACTCTTCTGCCGTCCCCTCAGTTTATAAAAGAACTTCGAAATCCATATTGTTTGTTTTAATTATCTCTAGTCATATTCTTCTCATGATATTATGTGTGTGATAAAGAAATGAATCATTCAATCAGTCATACACATCTGATAACCTGGCACATATGTGGTTAGGTTCAAATTGTCACACAGTATAGCGAGATACCTCAGCGTCGGAAGCGGTGATATTGTTGAAAGTGGTAAAAAAATCAGTTACTAAAGATGTGCTTTAAGAGGAACGTAGATATTCATGGAATAGTAAAAATTATAAGATAACTTGAAAACTTAACATCCAAAGAAAAATAGAGTGAATTCACTTGCGTCATAGAACGTAATTCTGAACTACCTTTCCCGAACTCTCTAACCGTTGGCTATAACAGTCATGCGAACCCTAACCAATTAGTCTACAATTACCAACACAGCCCAGCTTAACAGTCAATGACTTTATGGATTGATGATGGCTTCCTTTCAAACTATTCCTACACTGGTCATGAATTCTTGTCGAAGTAGGTTGTGGTAAAGGATATTTAAAGAATTTCCTGACCATCTTAGTGGATGAACATTCCCCACCCCATCAAGTGATTTTCTATCTCAACCTAGTATTCCAAGCTTAACCTCAGCATAGATTTATCGATGGTCCTAATATGTACGAGCGATGCTTCCAGGACACTTATAATCTAATTCTAGTAAATTGTTAATATCGTCTTTTCTTAATGGCTTCGTTTCATATACATTAAGTAGAACAGGTCAAACTGCTACTAAGTATAACCGTTATGTTGCTGCTAGATGAAAATCTTGCTTACACCATGAGTGATGTTGGTTTGCAAAGGCTATCTGAGCTTTATGAAATTATGTTTAAATTCTGTTATACGGAAGTTAATGAATTATCGTCTCTAACAACAGGTTATTCCACGAAAATAAACCGATATTGATTTATAAGTTACACATAGTTTCTTAAAACATACCTTAAATCTATGATCCTGTATTTATACAACAACGAAAATAAGAGTAAAGCTGTATATGAAGCATCATACATAATCTTCACTATGGCACCATTCAATTTTCTTGAAGTTAAGTCTGTTCACGGATGCTGAACTTTCGGACCACTGAGCACGCAGGACCCAAGGTTCTGGGTCCGATTTCCTCCTCCGGAGTCGTGGGCTTGCACTGCCGAGGAGTGACATACCAGGTTTTCAGTACTGGTCTAGCTAAACTCAGTTCGTGATTAAAACTATGAAAATCCTTCAATCTTCATACTTATTATATCATATTGTTTATTTATATCTATCCAGTTAGCAAACGTAATCATTAGGCCACACTTCTAGACTTATTGGTAGATATTATTTGTCGCATAATGTTTTATGTTCATTTGCTAAAACCTGTGAAAGCAGTTTCTCAGTTGTCACTAATTTAATAAAATCTATTATTACTTCAAGAATAGATATACAGAGTTCATATCTATAAACATGAATACAAGACTGAAATAAACTTTCCCACTGCCAACGATCAACTTCATTGATTAATAATAGAATTTTATGACTTGAAGCCATTTGGAATTTGGCAATATGGTTTCATAAATAATGCCAACACGTACATCATGTAATTTTATTTTCTTATCAAGTGCTTTTAGTCACTCAACTTCAAAAAGAAAACAACCACAATTTGTCTACTTAGTGAATTTTAGAACCGTATCTAGTCAATGGTGAGTGAGTCGTATGGCGCATCTAATTTACCGATATTTTCAACTGATAAAGAAAAGTCAATATTGTGCGTTAGTTACATAATCAATTTTTTAATACACTTTGTTTACAGAAAATTTTCAAAGACAAACAAAATCGCTAACTATTTAATTCATTGTTTTTATGACTTTTAACCTTGATCACACAATAATTTATTTAATTTATATAAACTCTTAATACTGATATCAAATAAACAAAAGCTGAAATGAAGACTCATTGAATCATAAATTATGGGAAATTATGGCCTATTCATCAATAGAATTAATGTTTGGTTTGAAGTACATCTGGTATTTCATTAAAATAAAAAGATTTTAAAAAAGTTAGAAATCTAAAAATTAGTTCAAGGAGAATATTTTCTTTTCTTTGAAGCCTCAATATTGAACAATACGTCTATTAGTTTGTCAGTGATGCGTGTTATTTTTGAAAATTTTCAAAAAATAATCCCCTAGAATGAGATGCTTTATGCAGTTATAAGTTTATCAATGTCTTTGTGTTATTATACATTTTGCTTAAATATTATAAAGTCGTCAATTCAAACGACGGAAAAACGTTTCAACTTACAATTTAAATCACGTTATATACAACATTTGAGGAGTATCTATTCGTAAATATGTCAGTGTTGACTTTTTAGTAAAAAAAAATTGAAAGTATGTAAAGACTTACTGCTTTTCAAAGTTTATCCATAGTTTCTTAAAAAAACGAACTAGTCAGATTACACACAACTGTATGAATTAAGTTAGTTCCTACCAATAATTATTAGAAAGACGGAAGAAAGTTTCTTATTGATTTTAAGTGCCTAATGATGTGGGAGACGCCTACCTACTCATTATTGGACTTCTGTATTTTGCTAATATTAAGTAAAATACATAACCAGCAACAGTAATAAAGTACTTGTTAACAGTGTCTTTTTACTAAAATGTTAAAGAAATTAATTTACCGTGATTAGAAGTACAACTGTGTCAGAATATCAAGTTAGTTCAATGCGTACCAACTAGTGTTAAAGACGAATGTTGATAAGTCTTAATGTCTATGAATCCTTAGACTATCTTTCAGAAATACTCTAAACAAAGTCAATGTAACTGGAATGATATGTATTCTAGATAATTAAAATGCTATTTCTTAGGCTACAAACACATATTGATTAAGATCAAACTAACCTTTAACATTTATTGATAATGCTTCATATTTATGCATATCACATAAATTACCATTATTATTATTACTATCCATAATATATGTTTTTTCATTAAATGTTTCATTATCATTTGGTTTTAATTCGACAGCATTTTCAGAGGATGCAATTAATTTTGATGGTAATTTAGTAAATTTCGGCGTAACCGTTACTGGTGTCGATGTGCTTAACGTTGAATCTAAAATAGTCTCATTATCATTTTCTAAATCCGATGCTGACTGACTATCCAGATCTGGATCGGTATTATATTTACGTTTTTGACTACGACAAGACAATGTTTTAACTTTTTTACATGATAATGTTTGGTAATCATTTTCCTCATCTGTGTGAGAATTTGTATATAATGTTTGTTCATTGAATGCATCTGAATCACTCTGTGCTGTTATATAAGCTTCCTCACTGCCTGTACCAATTAGATTACTGCATACAGTTACATAGGAATCAGCTTCACTGATAACACCTTCTTGACTTATTGTTGATAGCATAGAAGTTAAAGAACCAGAATGTGACTTTTCTAGTTTTTTATTGCTATTGTTGATATTAATATTACGAATTTCAGCTGAAACTGGTCGTGATTTAAAATTATTTGTAGTTATACATGAATTATCTACTTTTTTAGGTCGTAATAGAACAATATTAGGTGACTGTTGACTGTATACACTTGTACTTATACATTTTTCATTACATACAAATGAATTAGTTTTGCTATTGTTGTTATCGATATTATATTTTATCGTCTCAATTTGTTGCTGTCGATTTTCTAAAGCAATTTGGTTAACATTTTCATTTTGTCTTATAATATGCTCCTGCCTATCAGTATTATTATCATTACTATTGGTACAGGATGATTCAAATCCCTGACTTGTTAATTGATTTATTGGTATTTTATCATCTTTGTAATATTCAAACGAAGGTTTTGAAATCTTAATATCTTCCATGGGTTCTTCAGTAGTATTATTACTGTTACCATTATTTATAGAAATTTCATGTTCATATGACGACCAGTCATCATCATCGTTCTCTTCCGAAGCCTCATCAATTGTAGTTAATGAATGCCCATTATCATAGACTTTAAAATCCTCACTATTTAAATTTCTATTATTCACATCATTGTTATTTTCAGTCAAATATTTATTACTGATTGATAACGTAATTGTATCATTATTTGATATAATCATATTTTGTAATTTGATTTCGTCTGAGGCTAAATTACCAAATGTTGGTGATATAGCAGGTGACAAACTGTTCTCCGATTCTGTAGTACTATTCTCTTGCTTATCTGGTTGATAATCATCCAAATCAGTTTCTATCATGGAATGGTGATCATGTGAAGGAAAATTATATTCAATAACTTCATCATCATCATCGTCATTATTAATTTCATCATTTATTCTATGGCTACTTTCCATTTGTCTAATTTTAACATAATGCATGGTTCTAAGCTGATTAGCATTGTTAGTATTAAAATTATCATAAGGTTCATTGGTGAAACCGTATGAATTATCATAGAATGGATCATGTAGATTGAAATCAGATGGTGATCTCCATGTTTTTGTTAAATATTTATCTTCCCCAATACTACATTTATTATTATTAGCAGTGGTAGTAGCATTATTGTAGTGATCATTATCATCACGATTATCATTAAATTGACGAATATTATTAGAATCAAATAATTCATCCTCGTTGGAGTTGGAAAGTCGATTTTTTATTGGACGGATCCGTATATCCATAAACTCATCTTTGTCAGCCATTAAACCTAATAGTTCTTTTTCAGGGATACATTTTAAGTTATCTGATAAATCCTTTTGATGAGATACTAATGAAGATTGACTTATTTCTTTTTGAAGTGGACATGATGATACTTTTAACTGTTCCAATTTTGATGGTGAGCTTTTCTCTTCAATATTAGTTTGTTTATTATCAATCCTTACCGTTGTTGTTGTTGTTGATCTTATAAGTTCAGGTGATGTTGGTGTTGTCTGATCTAAACGTTCTGTTAATACATCTATATCATGACGTACTGATTGTAATAAATTTTCCATTGAATCATATCTTGCTTCAGTTGCTTGAATCCATTCATCAGCAATAGCTAAATGTCTTCCAGAATATTTTGACAATTCACTGTTTGTAGAAGTAACAGTAATGGTATTATTATTCATTTCATTATTTGTATTATTGTTTACTTGTGAATTACATTTGATTAACTCTTTATCCATCGTTATTTTATATGATTAAATCAAACTAATATTATTTCTTTTATTCGGAATCAAATATAATTAAAACAAATTAAATGAAATTTAAGCGCCAATTAATTTCTATAAGATTGAATACATTGAACATTATTTTATTCTAAATATTAATATGAATAATTTTTAAAATTAATTATTATAATTCCTTTATTGTTTTGAAAAACGAATATTCTTTCATATTTCCGCGAAAAAAAATGAATGAAACATTTATATATTTGTTTATATTGCATAGAAATAATGAAGAAATAGTTTATTTGTTTTTTGAAGAAATAATTATATTAACAATAATGAATAATCCATAAAATAACCATTTTTGATTTTGTTTTGTGTTGTCTTTTTTCTTTGAAATTTTAAAGTTTATATCTATTTTTTTCATGGATCATTTCGTATATACTACAATTTATTAGTATTAACCAATCAATGATCTATATGTATCATCATGATTGTGTCTAAATGTTTCGTGTTATTTTTTTTGTATAGTCAAACAATACTTTAACATTGAACTAATTAGTCAATCAAATCACTTTACGTTCATTGGTTGATTTGAAATGAAGAATGAAAAAAAAATTAAGAATTTGAAATTTGAAATTTATTTTCTTTAAATTATCCAAGAAATTATTTAAAGTTGTAGAAAATATGAAATAATTAAAACAAAAACGATGTCAATATTAGTAAAGTATGATTTTAGAATTATCTTTGAATATGTCTAAGTGATTGATTTATTATTTTAATTTAGAAAAACAACAAATGTAAAATAAATTTCAGTTTTGACAAATTTTCGAATTATTTGATTGAATGAAAAATATTTTCTTATATGAGTTGATCAATATGTAATGAAATCTGAAATACGAAAAAAACTAATTATTTATATAGCATATAAATAAATATAACATTCGAACATATCCAAATAATTAATATAGGGTTATGGAGATTATTAAGTTATTGATTGAGATCATGAACCGATTGATGTTAGAACACTATCAAAGCCCTTGAAACACTGGACGGCCGTTTCGTTCGATTGTGGGGATCCTCAGCAGCACACATCCACAGTCTCGCTCTCGGGATTCAAACCTAGGGCCTTCAGTCTCGCGCGCGAACGCTGAACTTACTAGACCGCTAAGCCGGCATCAAAATGATTATGTTCATTGATATTTCTCTCTTATCGATTTGAGAAATGTTTTTTTTCAGATTTTGAACTTTATGGACATTCATCAGTAGCATAAAGTTACTCTTCTGGTTTAATTTCAAAAAAATTATGCAAATGTAATAACATGTATAACATATAACTCAATAACCATTTATTTGTTCATGTTCTCGTCTTTGAGCGATACTTCCTCTTGAATCAAAGTAGTTGAAAGGGAGATTAAAATTTGTGGGTGAATGAACAAGGAGCTTCTATCACTATAACACTGATTAATCACTTTTAACTAACTAACAACATTAATTAACGAAATTTTTAAGCATCACTACTAGATAAAAGTAGAATGTTGGCCTCTTTAACAAGATACAGATTCATCACAGATAAGTAAAAGTAAACCTGTCCTCAGATTACCATAAATAAAAAAGATGTTACCCCATAGGGACTAATTATTTCAAGCAATTTTGTCAAGGAAATTGTATTTATTCATACCGAGAACCTTAGATTTATTAAGTGTTTAGATCTACAACGAACTGGCATGATGCACTGGAATGCACAGGAATTACGGTAACAAAATATAATCTGTTTTTATCTTTAAGAAGCTTTAAAGAGATCATAATACAGTTTGTAGATAACTAAATTGATATATTAATCAAATGCTCAAAAAAATAGTATTAAATTGTTTCAATGTTAACAAAGTATATGTCATTTATCTCAGTATTTATTTCAGTGAAGCAATTTTACATAATACTTTTCAGGTTTACTAATGGTCTGACGACCTACAAACATTTTAATTTGATTTAATTCAATGAGTAAAAATTAACTCATTTATTTGAGTGGAATATTATTAACCAAAAGATGTATGTTCATATCGTTTACTGATTTCTTTATAGAGTTTCCTGTGTTTTCGGACAATGTAAACAAATGGTATCGTAAGAATCTTTTGTTACTTTTATAAAAATGAGGCCTAAGGTTCTCTGCTTGAGTCTCACATGATAGGTTGTGGATACATATTTCTGAGGAATCCCATACTAGACCGAAATGGTCCTTTCAGAATCTCAATGGTCGTCTAAAATTGATCAGTACATGATCTCAATTAAAATTCAACAATTTCTACAACCGTATACTATAGATATTTTTTTATTTAATTTCTAGTGAAAGATCAATTTGTCCATAAATGACCTATATTTAAAAAAAGTTATAGACTAAACATCATTAAACTATCACATTTATACATTCATTATGATAATTAACTTTTATCGGTCAACTCTTTCATACAATTAAATATATTTTTCTAGATTTTAATTATAATTTACTAATATTTGAATCATTTACCTAATTTTCTCGTTTCTAATTACAATATATTCTTTTAGTTAAAGTTCAATGACATCCCAGATACATTTTAAAAGTTTTGAATCTAATAGATCGTATATCCTGCCTAACTGTTGAATCAAAGATTGAAGTGTTTAAATGATAAACTTATTCAAATTTTGTTTTATTTTACTTATTGATTAAAATATGGTTACAGATTGAAATCATGAGTCAATTGAAGCTAGACCACCATGGAAAACCTGGAAGCACTGGTCGGCCGTTTCGTCATAGTATGGGACTCCTCAGCAGTGCGCATCCACCATCCCGCACCTCGCGAGATTCGAACCCAGGACCTATCAGTCTCGTGCCAACCGCTTAACCAACTAGACCACTGAGCTGGCAACCAATGGTGTTAATGTCTAACTTGTCAAAATTTATACTATAAAAATTAAACCAAAATATATTCGTAATTGTAAATAAAAACATGGAACCTAGCGAACTTTATGACTAAATGTATAAGGTCATAAATAAACTGACAAGAACAATAATAAATATTTATTTTACTAGAAACTACCAGGTTATTGATGATTTTTATCTCAATAGTAGGTTGTTGTAAACTTTATTTCACCAACTTCCGTTTGTGACTCGTAACTAGGTGCATAACTCTGTTCTTATTCAATTTAATACAATGTAATGTACACACTATCAGACGTGAATTAGTTCTTTAATTCATAAGAAAAAGAAAATACATGTTTTAAAGAAAATTCCAGCGTATTAAAATACTAAATAAAGTACATGTACATAATCGTACTTGGAAAGTAATCGCCTTTCAGAATAATCCTGAAATAATCATTACTATCATTAACTGGTGTACACATCGATGAACGACGCGTATTACGAAACACATACTGAACTTTAGTTTATCATAGCACTTTTTACGGCACTCATGTATTTCTCGCAGTGCAAACTTGCTTTTTAATTCTTTAAATCAAAATGCATCCATATGCTTACAATTTATTATTTTCTTTATTGCAAGGTAGTTAATCTTTCTACAAATGATCTTATAGTTTGCATTCATTATGTGTGAATTCATGAAAAAGTGAGCTAAATAGTGTTATTAAGCGGTAACCTTAAAATTCGTGCTTTTGATTATACAAGGAGGTTTAAGAATCTGAATAATCAGTGAATAAGTAATAACACAAATTTTATGGAAGATCACTTTGATTTATGGAAATGATATCACTCACTGTTAAGTTGTTTATCTAACACCATTTCCTTATTATTGAGAAAGCATCCCTCGTGCTCAAGTATCTATACAATGATTCTTAAATATGCTTAAAATATTAAACTTAAATATAATAAACAAAGATGAATGGTGGCCATCAGTGGGATCCAGAACGGGCCACATTTTGACTTTGTCAAATTTTGGCTTATCAACCTTGACTGCTTTTATATGAGCATATGTGTGCACTTCTTGTCCTATTCATCATATGTTTTAAACTTATTTTTGCTCGGTTACTAATGTCGATTAACGCTTGGTTAAATTGAGTTGGTTTACATGCCTTCTCCACCGCGCTTCATTTCGCTTCACTCCGTTTCCCTGAGGGTCTATTCAGATCAGTGATTGTATGAAATATACGCATTCAAACTTCATTGTCGTATTTAACCTTTCTAATTCCGTTATTCACCGACGCGATTTAAGTCGATGATGGTAGCTGACATATATATTTTAATAACAATCATTATGCGATCCAAATGGAATCAGATCTCGGGCCACTATTAAAATTAACAATCTATGTAGCATACATTATGTAAGTAAAGTACTCTATTATCTTTTGACCAATTTTGTGAATGGGAGTTGCAATGCAAGTTTTTCTTTATAGTCGATAACTCCTAATTTCGTTGCCTAAATTGCATTGAATATACAAGATTTTAAGCATTTTTATTACTAAATAACGAATTTTTAACTTTTGGGAATCGTTTAAGGCTGGACTAGTTTATTGATGAGATCTATAGTTTCAAAAACTATATACACAAAAATTTAGACCTCCACAATTCATCGACTGATATTGGGTACTATTACAGAAATGATTGATAAATTATCATTTTGAAACTAGAAAGGTGAACGTCATTTTCTGATGAAAGATTTCTGATACATTTACAAAGACGAAGATGAATGGCGACTAACAGTAGAATCCAGGACGCGCGTTTCGTCTTATTCTGAACTCGTCAGATGCATGCATCTGTACCGTAGGCTTAATGTTTACTCAGGGACTCAAACCCTATACCGTTCACTTCAAACTCCATTGCGTTACCCACTTAGGTATTGAGTTTCGATAGCCACTATTTTTGTTTATAATGCTTGTGATTTAAGACAACATCGAAGCAATTCACACAGGATGTACATATGCCATCAACAGACTAATCAATTGTAGTCTTAAACATCAATGAGAAGATTCAAACGAATAGTAGAAAATCAATTTAAATACGATAGTTTATTACTTCTGATTCAGTCAAC